CAATTAGATAGGCGGGCGAAGGGCTCTTGGCTGCCGAAGGAAAACGGCTAACGGCCCGATACTAGTTTGGCAACCAGGGTAGCCGATATTCTGAACCAGTGAAACTGAACGTCATTCTTCGGCAATCGAAATGCCTTTTTCCAAAAGGCTACTCAACAATTACATCTTCCTACTATACAGGTCATGTCTCTGCTTTGCAAAAGCCCTGCCCAACTCTCTATCCTCACACATATACTAGTAGTACACCCGACAAGACCACCTTCACAGTACATGTCATGGACTTCATATTTGTTCACAACAACACAAAGCACATACAAAGACGCGTATACAAGTACTTGACAAATTCAACTTGACAAAATGTCCTCTTTTTTAACCCTGAGTAGTTATTGCCATTTGCGATATAAAGATTTAAAAAAATTATTTCTTTCAAAATGGGGGAAACTCTCATACGCTGCTAACTTTTGGCCAGAAGTGTTATTTGCATGAAAATGTTTTTTGGCAAGTATTTTCTTTCTTAGAATTACATTGCTTACTGATACAGCAATTCGTGTTCTTAGCATACCAAAAACAGGTTGCTTGGAGTGGCAACATATTTCGTAAAAGTCACATTTGGCATTGGTTAGGACGTAATATCGTTAATCCAAATTCGACCCCAACCAGCATCAAATTTTCCAGACCCAACTTTCAAAGTGAACCTCTCTAGAGTCTATACACTAGGTTTTCAATACATGATTAAAAAGCGTTGTTTGATAGTGCTAGCAAGCAGCTCAATGCAATGCATTATAAGGTTATAATTATTGCAGTATATTCATGATTGCGGTGCGCATAGTACTAATAGTGTTTTAAGGACACTTACCTATTAGATATAACATGCCATGGCATTCAATGCAAATTCAAAATTTGGTACAAACATGTTAATCTTATCTTTCATGGTTATAATTTTGATAACTTTATTTTTGATAATTCTAAATCAAGCATAAATGGCATATACATTATTTGCCAATTTAGGCGTGCCAAAGTTATAATAGATTCCATGTATACAGTTTTGATATGTATACATAAATGATATATATACCTTACCTTGTATTTTATAGGGTTAGGGTTAGGACTATAAATTCATACATTTGGATAGGTATTATCAATTGAACTTTTGTATAGTTTTGGCAGAGTCTTTAGAAAATGGAACTTGGACGGCGATTTAAAATGTTAACTTTTTTGAGCAGCACTTAGATTGACTTGGAGTATTATCAACTTCCTCAAGCTATAAAATTTTATTGCCTAAAGTTTCATTGGACGGACAAACCTAGCATGTTTCTATTTGGTTGATTGCTTATCGATGTAGGCAATATAATGATAAAAAAATCTCATTTTCGACCCAAGACACAGGTAATCATAAATAGTGGTAAAGGTTTTCAGCCTCTTTGTGCACTTAAAACGGACATGGTCACGTCACAACAATATTCATGGCAAAAAACATGTATTACCTAGCAACATATTCTAAATAACAGACTGGCTTTATAACAAAATTACACAAGAGGAATTGACACCAAAGAAGGTATTCTTTTACTTTTCATCTTCTGTTGGTGTCATTTCTTCCATGTCTACTTCTCACCACTTGATTTTAATACACGGAGAAATAAAAACATAATTAACATACACATGACATAACAAAACATTAGCTCAAGTACTATATAGCTAGTTCCCACTCCCATATAAGGTAATGTATGGTAATGAACCACCGCCTCCACCTATGACCTTTACCCTCTAACCCCGCCACCTTGGTGTTAGACTAATCATGTCGATGAGATTGTTGAGTATTGTGAGCACGTGACTCTCCACCAATGAGGGGTCAGGATGGTTTTGTGAGCACGTGACTCTCCACCAATGAGGGGTCAGGATGGGCTGCATTGCGAGCGCGAGCTAAGCCGGCTAAGACGACGGCGGCCCTTCCCTGGGGAGGGTAGAAAACGGTTGTCATGGATACGTCCCCTCTTTATTTTACAGTGGACAGGAAAAAAAAACATTTGAGGGAGAAGCAAATGCTCTGACTGACAAACTTTGACAGAGTCCAAACAAAGCTGCAAAAATGCGTCCACCCTGAGGCGTCGCCAAAAATAGTACAGTCTACTGAATTCTTTCATGAATGCAACGTAAAGGCTTTTACGTACTGTTTCGATATCCATGACGTGTATTTTGTACGTTTTTTCTCCAAAATGATTGGACTCTGCTTGCATTAGCTTGGAGCAACAAAACGTTTGAGTTTTAAGTGGAACGTTCTAACCTGGAGCTCTAAGTGCTGGTTCAGTGGTTGCAATTACATCAAGGGGACATTTCAATGCAATTTGTCGCTTGCAATGTAACCCATCAAGGTCTTTTACTCCAAACGAATATCTGTTATCCTGCAGACGTACAATCAACTTGTGCATGAAAAAATGGCTAAGGAAAGAGTGCAGTGTGCAGAAGCATCCATTTTCTAGAGGAGGGGTGGGGAAGAGCGGGAGCTACGTGCTACGTCACTCAGAAACAACTCAGTGGCTACTAACTCCATCCACAGCAAACGTACACCAACACCAACACCGGCAGTCTGGTTTGTTTGTTAGTCTGTGCACTAGCGGATACATTGGGTCCAAATAGAGCGCGTACCTCTGATCTTCAGTTTGGCTGTACTTCTGACGGCGGGGGCGCTGTTGTCGCCTTGCACCACTTCGCATGCGTACTCCGCCGCGTCATCCAGCCTGACGTCACTGATGGTCAGCTGATGGAGGCCGCCATTCTGTTTCAGGTCGTACTTGCTGCTCTGTTGGACGTCCATGCCGCTCTTGAGCCAGCGGACTTTGACGTCCTGCCTGGACACCTCGCATTCGAGCGTCGCCTTGCCGTGACGCACGACTTCTACGTCCTTAAGCGGCTTTACGAATGAGGCTGGTTCGGCTGTGAAATGGTGAAATGGTTGGATGTTCATCAACGATGAGCATGGCAGCGGGCAAGGATGATGCTTTGCCGTGCACGTGTGCACATGTCAACATGCTTTATTAAAACTAAATGTCGCAACATCCAAAGCTTGCGTAAATGTACTGATGCGTGTGATGACGCCACCCAGAAACGTATGGTATGGAGTTTCAAATGGGTGAAGATTTTACGTCAGATTTACCTTTGACCTTCAGCGAGGCTGATGACCTGCTCCTCCCCGTGTCACAAGTGTACTCTCCCGCGTCAGCTGCTGTGACGTCGTTGATTGTCAGGACGTGTTTTCTGCGATCAACTTCGATCTGGGTATTGGTAAAGACATTGATGTGTACAGGTCATACGCTAGGTATTTGTTATTGCCTGTAGAATATATCTTTAACGAAGACCCCATCAATTCTATACGGCATATCCAAACATGATGGGCATTTTTCAACCGTCTTGTAAAATACCTTTATTTCTCATTGTAAAAGTTTGCATATAAGTTGTGTCTAACTTGAGTTCGTAGTCACTTAGTCTGTGTCCTTTCATTTGTATTCATCACTGTTTTTCTGAATAAAAAAAACATGATGGGCTTAACACTAAGCTAGATATTCTTTACACGTTTAAATAGTGCAGTGTCTTCATATATAGAACTCATAGTCTTGATAGAATTCATAATATAGAATTCATAATCATTACTGTACATGTTAGAGTAGATATCAGTTCTATTATGTAATACCGCTGAAGAACCTACCATACATTGTACCTGCTACAATTGTTGTGCAATAAAATTTGTTTGTTGATCAAATTTGTCGAATACGAAGTACGAACCTTAAAGCGTGGATCCTCCGGCAAAGGTTGATCGTCCTTGAGCCACCTGACAGCTACAGGTCTCGAGAGTTCACACGAGAATCTCGCCGTCTCTTTCTCGGAGACGGATAGACCAAGGAGCTGCCTATAGAATGACGGCGGCGGTACTGAAAAACAGCATAACATACGAAATCGAAATTAGAATAAAATCATAATCAACTAGAAGGTAACATTTGCAAAGCAAATGCATAATGTTTAACCTTCGCATATGGTCTGTTCTGTTAATTCTTACTCAAACACATTCATATATATATATATATATATA